CTCTTCTTACTAAGGCACTGGGGCCCTCAGTCTCTAGGGCTGCCTTCCAGAGGTAGTCTGTATTGTTACGACCATTTAAATCCCGGGATCACACAGTTCTACATGTTGCTTTTTTTTTCTTGTCTGTGTAGCTTGAGTGTTATCAGTATTGACAGAGATGCTGCCTCTGTGTACATTTACTTTGATTTATATAACTTTTCTTATTGATCAACATTTCAATTGTAATAGCAAAAACTTTAAAAAATCTTTGGCAATCAATATCTTTATAGATACCTCACATGTACATATGCAGGTATATCTATGCAATTAAGTTCTTGGATGGGGAATCACTGGGTCAAAGAGACATGTGCATTTAAAAAACTTTTTGATAGCCATCACCCTCCATACCAGATTGTAATAATTCACTATCTGGAAGTGTACAAGAATGCAGATTTGTGCTTGTTGTTGCCAATGTAGTGTATCAGACATTTTTATCTTTACCAGTGTAATAGGTATGCTTTTATGTGTGCCACAACATTTTATTTGTCTAAAATCCATTTGTTGGAGGGAAACTGGACAGGCTTTTAGGGAGTGATGAAAATATTATGGAATTAAATGGCAGTGGTTTCACAACCTTTGTAAATATTGCTTGGCCAAAAAGTTTATTCATTTTCCCCTAAGATGGTTCTATTAGCACTTAGTTGTCTTTAACTTATTTGAAACAATTTTGTTAGATTGTATTGTGACAGCTGTCAGATCAGCATGCATTTTTTTAAAAAAATTACCAAAATTGGTGAATTTTTATATAGCCATTTTCATATCAAAGATGGAAGAAAATACGCAATGTTTTCAGCATATTATGCTTTATTATTTCAAGAAAGATAGAAACAACTGGAACAATAAAAGATTTGTGCAGTGTGTAGAGAAGTTGCTGTGACTGATCGAACATGTCAAAAGTGGCTTGTAAAGTTCCATGCTGGAGATTTCTCGCTGATTGATGCTCCACAGTCAGGTAGACCAGTTGAAGTTGATAGTGATCAAATTGAGATGTTAATTGAGAACAATCAATGTTATACCACACGGGTGATAGCAGACATACTGAAAATATCCAAATAAATAAAGCTATTGGTAAAAATGAAAAATGTGACTTCCGGCCAAGGTGGAGGCGTAGGTGTAACCACTGTGCCTCCTTGCACATCCAAGTTTAAAGACAACAAAGTTTTAGTAAAAAAAAAAAAAACGCAACCAAAACACAGAAAATTGAACTATATGGAAGTCTGACAATAATGAACCGTTCAGCCAGCCCGGTAAGAGGGGCGGAACCAGTGACTGGCTGAGCGGGGTTGCGCAGGAAAACTTAGTCAGACCAACCCAGGAGTGCAGGCGGTGGTTGGCAGATCCCAGGTGTGGGGTTGCAAAGGGCAGACGCAGTGAGGGTGCAAGGTGGCAGGCTGACCGCGGTCACACATTCACACGCAAATAAATCAGGCAAAGGAGCAAGCAGTGAGACAGACTGCACAGGCCCCAGTGGCGGGAAGCAGCAGAGGGGACCACTATTGCCCCTCTCTGACCCTGCCCCCACATACAGTGTTACAACCCAGTGACTGAGTTGCCCCGCCCTGGTGAACATCTAGGGCTCTGCTCCTCATACGTCGTAACAGGCGTGAACAGACCAAAACATGGCTAAAGAAGAATTCAAAGTTCCAGAGCCAATAACTCTAAGTGACCAAGAAATAGCCAACCTATCAGATGCACAGTTCAAAACACTGGTGATCAGGATGCTCACAGAACTGGTTGATTTTAGTCACAAATTAGAGGAACAAATGAAGGGTAAACTAATTGAAATGAAGGGAAATGCACAGGAAACCAATAGTGATGGAAAGGAAACTGGGACTCAAATCAAGGGAGTGGACCAGAAGGAAGGAAAAAGTGACCAAACAGAAAAGGATGAAGAAGCAAGAATTCAAAAAAATGAGAGGCTTAGGAACCTCCAGGACATCTTTAAACGCTCCAACATCCGAATTATAGGGGTAACAGAAAGGGAAGAGGAACAGCAACAAGTGGAAAACTTATTTGAACACATAATAAAGGAGAATTTCCCCAATCTGGCAAAGGAAATAGGCTTCCAGGAAATTCAGGAAGTTCAGAGAGTCCCAAAGAAGTTGGACCCAAGAAGGAACATACCAAGGCACATCATAATTACATTAGCCAAGATTAAACTGAAGGAGAGAATCCTAGAAGCAGCAAGAGCTAAGGGGACAGTCACCTACAAAGGAGTGCCCATCAGACTGTCAGCTGATTTCTCAAAAGAGACCTTGCAGGCAAGAAGGGGCTGGAAAGAAGTATTCCAACTCATGAAATCCAAAGACCTACATCCAAGATTACTCTATTCAGCAAAGCTTTCATTTAGAATGGAAGGACAGATAAAGTGCTTCTCAGATAAGATCAAATTCAAGGAGTTCATCATCACCAAGCCCTTATTATATGAAATGTTAAAGGGACTTACCTAAGAAAAAGAAGATAAAAAATGATGAACAGTGAAAGGACAGCAAACTCACAGTTATTAACAACCACACCTAAAACAAAAGCAAACCAAGAGGACAGCTAGATCAGGAGTGAACCATAGAAATGAAGATCTCAAAGAGGGTTAGCAATAGGGGAGTGGGAGGAGAAGAAGGGGGGAGAAGGTACAGAGAATAAGTAGCATAGATGGTAGATAGAAAATAGATAGGGGGAGGGCAAGAATAGTATGGGAAATATAGAATCTAAAGAACTTGAGACACATGGGCATAAACCAAAAGGGTAATGGTGGGGGAGGGGGGTGTGCAGGGTAGAGGGGAATGAAAGAGGGAAATAGGATAACTGTAATGGCATAATCAATAAAATATTTTTTAAAAATGAAAAATGTGTCTTTTATTTTATGTAAAAAACCATACGGACCTCTTGGCCAACACAATATACTAAAAGCCACTGAATTGTACCTTTTGAAAGGATGAATTTTATGACATGTGAATTATATCTCAATAAAGCTGCTATTTAAAAAAAATAAAACCCAGCCCTGGTTGGCATAGCTCAGTGGATTGAGCACGGGCCTGCAAATCAAAGGGTCCAGTCAGAGCACATGCCTGGGTTGCAGGCCAGGTCCCCAGTGGGGGGGCATGTGAGAAGCAACCACACACTGATGTTTCTATCCCTCTCTTTCTCCTTCCCTTCTCCTCTCTCTAAAAGTAAAAAAAAAAAAAAAAAAAAAATCTTTAAAAAAAGGCTTGAAAAGTAAACAAAACCCATTTCTATTTTTATTTATGCATTCTGACTTCATTTACTTTTTTCTATTCTTATAGGAAATTAGTTTTTTTCATTTTGTAATATTACATGTATTTTTCTCCAATTGGCTGTTGGCTCTATTGATCTTGATTCTTTGATTTTTGCTCTTTAGCCGTGTAGAAAATTTATATTTATGTATGGTTAGTCAAATCCTTTTTTTCTTTTCTTTTTAGAACCTTGAAGTGCTTTTTCATATTTTGAAAAGTTTTTCTTCACTATTATATATATATATATATATATATATATATATATATATATTTAAAGATTTTATTTATTTATTTTTAGAGAGGGAAAGAGAGAGAGAGAAACATCAATATTTGGTTGCCTCTCATGTGCCCCCTACTGGGGACCTGGCCCACAACCCAGGCATGTGCCCTGATGGGGAATTGAACCCATGACCCCTTGGTTTGCAGGCTAGCGCTCAATCCACTGAGCCACACCAGTCAGGGCCAATATTATATATTTTTAACCCCCTATGTTTCTTCTGGCTCTTTAAATTTTTTTTCTTTTATTGATTGTACAGAGAGGGGAAGGGAGGAAAAGAAGGAGAGAAACATTGATTGGTTATCCTCTTGCATGCACCCCAATTCAGAGCCAAACCCACAACCTTGGCATGTGCCCTGACCAGAATGGAACCGTGACCTTTTTGGTTTGCAGGATGACACCCAAGCAACTGAGCCACATTGGCCAGGGCTCTTAAGGATCTTTTATATTTACTTTTGAAATATTTAAATCTTTGATTCTAAATCCTCAGAATTTTGCTATAGATTGTAAAAAAGGGACAATAGCCTTTTTTTCTTCAGATGATACCCAATTGACACTCCCCGCACTATTTTTAAAAAATAACTTCTTTTACCCCATTGATTCGAAATTCCATTTTTATTATTTATTAAATTCTTTTATGTTTTTGGATCTAAAGTTTGGATTTTTAATTCTGTCCTGATATTCTTGTCATATTCATATGTTACTACACACTGTTTTAATGACTTTAAATCAAAAGGCTTGTCCAGGTTTTACTGTTAAAAGGTCTTCTTGATTATCCTTGATTATTTTTCCCTGAAGTGAACTTCACAAGTGGGATTTTTAAGGTTTTTAAAATCCTATTGACATTTTATGGTCATTGCATTGACAATTCATGAAATTGACTATTTCATTCCTTTGCTGTTTCTCTTCTGTTTTGCCTTAGGTTTGCTTGTGTGTTCAAAGCAGTGTTAAGTACTAGTGATCACAGGAGTTCTCAGCTTGCCTACCTAGGTGTAATGTGCATGTTTTAGGCATTATAGTCATAAGGGAGATTGGGCTGTATGGTTTTTTGCTTTTTTTTTATTACTGTGTTAGGTTTTATGATCTTAGAAATCATTTTTTTAATCTGTTGGAACAATTAAATTGTTGGAACAATTTAAATATCATTGGTGTTGCTCATCCTTAAAAGGTTTGGTGGTATAATTCACCCTTGAAACTGAGTGGGGCTCTTGCTTTTGAGGAGGTATTAGTGATTTATTCTACTTCTCATGTAATCAGTTTTTTCTCTTTGGGGGCTAATTTTGGTAACATGTTTTTCCTAAACTTACCCATTTTATCAAAGTATTTGATTGTATATTCATGAATGAGCTATAGTACTCATTATTTTATAAGATACAGAGCATTCTATCTTATTTTTGTGTTCTTTATATTGATTTCTTTGTCCTTTCTTACAGGAACAGGAAATATACTGGTCATTATGGTTAGCTACACAGAAGGAAAGGAGATTTTGGATCTGGTGCAAAGAGAAACTCAAGTCAAAATGACCATAGTGGTCAGTCTGTCATGTTTGTGGACATTGCCTTCATCACCATGATGATTATCTCATTAGCGTGGCTGATATTTTACTATATACAGCTTTTCCAGTATACTGGCTCACAGTTTGGAAGTCAGGTAAATATGGGAAACTTTTTATGTTTACTTTTTCAAAGATAGTTTATAAGTATTTTCCATATATATATTGTTTGAAGTTGTATTGGATCCTATTCTTATTTTCATTTTCACTCAATATAATTTAAATATTAATATGATTTTTCTTTTTTTTTTAATTCTAAGGTCAATTTTTATTTCTACAAAAAGAAAAGCAGTCAAAACTATATAAAACACACATATAAAGGCTATTACTGAGTGAGCTTCAAGTGGAGCTCAACTCTGCAAAGGCTGTGAGTCCAGAGGGAGAAGGAAGGCTGTTTTGTTCCTGGGCTGGGTTGGGCTGGGCTGGGCTGGCCCACTCTGCTGCTTTGAAAGCAGCACCCCAGGCTGGTGCTGGCTACAGCCAAGTCCTACCAATTCCAAACCTACCCAGGGTGGGGCTACTGACCTGAGGAATTGGAGAGTGAGCTTTGTGGCACATTTGGATGGAACTTGCTGACAGGTAACTTGGAATTTCAAATGACATTCTGGCTTCAGTGTTGTCTGCAGTGACCAACACATCTTTCATAATGGCTACAGGGAGGAGCGCCAACCTTTGACCTCATGGCCCTCTCTGATAAGAAATTCCTCGCACAAGTGCAGTGCCCTCTGGCTGGCAGGCTCTCCCCTAGAGTGGCGGCAGACCTGATATTGCAGTTTTCCCAGGCAGGCCAGGCCAGGCTGGAGTTCAGTCACATACACAGACATGGGTTGCCATTTGATCCATATTATTGTGGTAACATTGACCAGGTTTTTACATAAGAGCTGGGCCTTCCTTTTCACAGCTTTTTTTTGGGGGAGGGGGGTAGGGGGGTGATAATTTGCCTGTTACTAAAAATTTTTTAAGGAATATTATAAATTGGAACCAGTTGAATTTGAACAAACTCCCACACTGGTCAGTGCAACATGGGAGAAGAGAAGCCACCAGACTGGACAGAGCTGTCTCCTCTTCTTTGTGGAGGAGACAGGGCCTGGGTCTGGGGAAGTGAATGAGTGAAAAATAAACTGAATGCAAGAAAGTGAGAGTTGCAAGGGCAGGGGAAGAAAGGGAATGACAACATTTTATGTTAAATCCTAAGATCTAAATGTAAATTGAAGATTTTGGGTAAATTTGGACCAAGAAAAGAAACACCATTCTTTTAGAGTAGATTAAAGCAGTGATTTTAAAACAAAGAGAGCAGAATTAAAACATCTTAAATTCTTAATCCTTTCTTTACAGGTTATCTAAAACCACTTTTGATTAAGAAAACTATAGAAACTTAGTAACTGTCACAAGTGAACACCAGGTTCCACAGAGTCCTGCTTTGGGAGGTGTTTGAATGCACTGCTCAGGTCTCTGCTCACACTTGCTGGAATCAACTGTGACAGATTTTAGTCCACAGGTCACTTTTCCCCATATTTCTTTGTAAACTCTTCAGGGTTCTTATATAGAATGTTTTACGGTCCTTAGAGTATTTTTAAGCGAGGTCAGCCCAAAGCGGGTGCTAAGGCTGGGGGTCATTCACCAGTGCTATGAGGGACTGGATTACTTGGTCAGTTTTGGTTGCTGGCTTCCAGTTTTCAGTAGTAATTACCAGCAGACAGACCTGCCTCTTTTCGTCGATGTCGGAGTGATAGATCTTTGTGTTAAATGTGATCTTCAGTGGTTTGAATGGGTACTCTGCTGAAAAGTTGATTTCCATTCTGAAGGCTCACTTATCATATAGAGGGTTGTCAGGAACAATAAGCCCTTGCCAAGTCAGTAAATTAGCTTCATCAATGTGGATGTTGTGGAACTTTTTCATTACACATTTGCAGATTTCTTCAAGCTCCTTTATCAGCCTCCTGCTGGCTACCATCTTGGATCTGGTAATATGATTTTTCTGAAAATAACTTTTAAAATTAGAATATATTAAATTTTCTGTTCAGTGGGAAATTAGATATTTTTAAATACAGGTCACTTTTTGCATGTTGCGCTCCTGAAAATATCCTCTTTGTCCTTTTCCAGACATAAAGGAATGACAAAAAGGCATGAGGTAGATGGGACGAGGTTTTGTGTTTGAAAAGAGAACTCTGGGTCCTAAGGTGAGGTGCAGAGTGGGAGGAGCTTCCCTATCTCCACTGTGGAGCAACTGTCAAAGCCATTTGTCTGCAGAGGAACTCTCTCAGCAACAGCAAAGAGGGGGGCAGTTGAAGTGCCAGGGGCTTCCAATACAGACTTTTCGAATTTCACACTTTTCCTCTGTTGTCTTAAAAAGTAATCCTCCCTGACTTTGGCAGCATTAGATGGTCATGTTTGGGTAGTCTTCTACTTGATGACTGGGAAGCCTCTTTTCTTTTAGGAAAGTTAATAAATGGTAACCCTATCCTTATCTTGCTACTTTCTTTCCAATATTTAAACATACTATTGGAATTGGGTTCTTGTTCAGATACAGAATTGAAAATAAGCATTGCCCCCCCCGCCTCCCCCAGTTACTATTTACATTCAGTATTATTTTCTAGTGGTTAGACAATCATACTTTATAAAATGTGCCCCTAGATATTTTCAGCACCCACTTGGCGTCATACATAGTTATTACAATATTATTGACTATATTTCCAAAGCTGTACTTTACATTGCCATCACTATTTTGTTAACACCGATTTGTACTTCTCCATTCCTCCACCTTTTCCTAACTCTTCTCCACTGTGGCAACCATAAATCTGTTGTCTATACCCTTGAGTCTGTTTCTGTTTTATTAATTTGTTTATATTTTTCTTTAGATTCCACATATAAGTAAGATCATATGGTATTTGTTTTTCTCTGACTCATTTGCGACAGTATGGGTAGATCTAGAAATTATTATGCTAAGTGAAAATAAGTATTCTTGATCAAACAGGTCTTAAGTTGTATGTGCCTAGTCTATATGTTAAGACAAGTGGTAATATTTAAAGTTATTTTCATTATAGTCATTTAACTTTGCTCTTTAAATGAAATTTTTCTATAAGCTACCTTATATTTTATGAATTTTTAAAATAGTGATTTTACATGAAATTTTCAATAATAATAATTTTTTCCTAACTAAGAGCCATAGAAAAGCCAAGAAAGTTATTGGCTAGCTTCCACTTCATACTATAAAACATGAAGAAAAGGTAATATTTTTGTTTTTTTCTGTTTTGTTTTTGGTTTAGATTAGACTGTATGCCTGTCTTCATGTCTGAGTAATGCTTTCCAATCTGCTAAATTTGCAGTATAGAACATGTGGAGTTCTAACCAGGTTGAGTTAGCACTGACTTATTTTATGTGTGTTCATTTTAAAGCAGGGTTGTCAGAAATAATTTCGTTGCATATGTGATGAGCCTTTCAGATGTACGGTAGCCAGTAGCCATACCTGGCTACTAGAATTTAAATGAATTAAATTAAACTTAAAATGTAGTTCCTCCATCACAATAGCTACATTCAAATGCTCAAATAAATCACACTGGCTGGCTAGTCACTGCCATCCTGGACAGTGTCAGTATGTTCATCATTGAAAAACCTTGTCTACCTGTTGGTCAGACTCAGATGACTCTAAAGAAGAAAAGAAGTGCCTTGACCAATGTGGCTCAGCTGGTTGGGCTTCATCCCACAAAGCAAAAGGTTACTGGATCGATTCCAGGTCAGGCCACTTGCGTGTGGGTAGTGGGTTCAGTCGTGGTTCAGGGTGCATGGGAGAGGCAACCGAGTGATGTTTCTCTCTCTCCCTTTCTTCCTTCCCCTCTTTCTAAAAGTACATAAACTCTTGAAAAAGATAAAGAAGTTAAAGTCTCTACCCTGACAGACCCTTGAAAATTTAAATTTGTCTATGTTGAATCTGAGAGTCAGTGTTCTTTCTTTAATTATAGGGAAAAAATTGTGGAGAAAGGGAGAAAAGATGTTTTTAAAAGTAGTTTTTTACCAAAACAAACATTTTGACGAGGTTAACCTGAGACTTAACAGGCCAAAATTATACCAGAGTTGAAGCATTTGTAGACTAGGACAGATCCTGAATCTAGAACCTCAAGTTTGAAGTTGATTCCTTAAAAGGAAAACAGTTGCTAATGTAGTGAGTGCTGTTTGTTCTTTTAATAGTCTTTTGTGCCATTAAGGTTAATAACTGTGTTGATATAGCTGTGAGTTGGTTCAGTTGTTTTGATTTTTATTTTATCTCACTAAGTTGTTGAGACTTAATCTGTTCCTCCTTAATCTAGTCTCCATCAAAAAAAAAAAAAGAACTACACTTATAGTATATACCTCTTCTTCTGACCTACTTAAAGAATCAGAACAGAAATAACAAATAGACCTTAACCCTTTGACTTAACTTTGGAATCTGGTACTAATGGTTTATGTGATATCTTTAATATTGATATCCCTGGCATTGTATTGTTGGCTGTCCTTCCTTCCCTAAAGCCTTTACATTGTAGTGATAGTTGAATTGTAATAGTTTGTGCAAGGTTTCTTGCCATGCAGGTGAATTGAACAGAAAAAGCTAAAAAAAAAGTTTTCCATCATAGGGGTTAAGGTTAGCATCCAATTTATAAAACAAGGGTCCTTGGGGAGAAAGTCTCCAGTGATGAATGCCTGTGACAAACTACATGTATTTGGTATAGCCAGTGACTTGATAAGCATGTAGTTTTATGTTTCTCTTGAAATAGTTCTTTGCAAGGCAGGAATTCTCAGTCCTTAAATGAGAAGACATAGATTTATATGAAATAATTTACTCAGTTAAGTCTTTGAGAACATAAGTATATTGATATCTTCTCTTTTTCGGAACATTTTTGAAAATATGCTTCCACGCACTGTTTTTTGAAAGTTGTCAAAATAGTGGTTTAGAAACGAAGATTCATATGGTTCATGAGATATGTACATGAATTTTCTGATGACTTTATGGTTTAAACTTACATGGAAAAATGTTTTCTTAAATCTGGAGACAAGTATGTGTTTTCTAATTTTTCTCTTCCTATGGACTCATTCACAGTAACATACAAGCTTGTCAATCATTCTT